CGACATCCAAGCCAAAAGAATCTTTTGAAAGAAGTTTTCTCTTCCATTTTTTTTTATCACAACTAGTTGCCCTGATGCAGACAATGTGTATGGATGGTAAAAACCAGAACAGTTTCAAATGGAGGGCACTGCGAACCTGTGATTACCCAAATTAATAGCTAAATAAGTGTCTCCCCACAAACTTGTTTAGCAATTTACACCTTTCAAATTGCAGTTGTTCCAAGTGGGGAGTTTGATGTTAAGAAATTATTTTCATGTTCAACTTGATGCAAACTAGAAGTCTAGAAAAAATGAATCGATTTGGCAATATTTTAGCTCTAGCACACTGGTCCAGATTTAGTCCATTCCTACACTGGTAACAGTTCTTAAAGGCAATATGAAAATACCTGTTTTGTCTTCCTTTCCTACCAAAAGCATATGTACTTTTATTTAATTGTGGAATCATTCTTTCTTACCAGTAATAATTCTCCAGGCATTTGAGACTGACGTTGGAAATAGAGAAAGAAAATAGCCAGGGAAGTACAAACTTTTCTCTGCCTTTGTGCACATGACTAAATACTTAAAAGGAAGATCTGCTACATTTCACTATTTTATGTCACTAACACCTCCAAACAGTACATTAAGAAACAATAAACCAACACTCTGAGTATAATATTTGACCCCAGGTTAGCTAGAATTATGTGTGATAAGCCCCAGTAAAGCTTCAACCATTTGCACCAGTACTGTGAAGCTGGGGCAGGCATTGTGGGTTTTTTTGACTCTAACTGGAACTGCACATTTTAGGAAAGCAGGCAAGTCTGACACTGCTCAGCAGCCTGCTGTGGAGGCATTCCTGGAAGCTTGTAAGGAAGTCAAAGGTAGAACTGAAAAGCTGAGGGGTGGCAGCACTAGGAAGGGCAAAGATGATTTCTGCAGACTGATCAGGAGGTGCATTTCGTAAGAGAGAAACCTTCTCCCGGATAATTTTTCATAGCTAGCAACCATGCCTTGCAGTTTCTGTCTTGCAACACAAGTTGTATGCGGAGATTGTGTCTCCCTACCTGACCTGCATGCCCCGAAAGAGGGTCATGAAGCCTCAGGGAAAAACACGGCCCCTGGGGAGTCCTGAGGATACCTCCTTGGCTGCCTCTTGTCCCCCACAGGCCATGGGTCTGCAGAAGGGGAGTGACTACTGAGGGTGGATCTGAGATGGGGTAACCAGAGGAATGAGAGCAGGATTTGCCTGGGCTGGAGTCCCCAGGTGTGGACCAGTGATGGAGCCTCCCTGGGCTCTGCTGGTCACCCTGGCACTGCAGAGGGGCTGTGGGTACCCTGGCGTAGCAGCATCAGCATGGACAGCCCAGTACTGCAGAGGTGAAGTGGGGAGTCTGACATTCCAGAGATGTCAAAGGCTCCCAGGCTTTGCAGAGGTGCCATGTGGATCCCTCTTGTGCCTGGTGTAATCTCTGCTCAAGAACCATTGCAGAACACATGGAAACCTGCCTTCATGTGGAGCAAAAGTGGAGGAATTGTCCCTCTCACTTCCTGCCAGCCTCACCAGCCAGACCAAATTCAAAATCCCAAGGGAAAAGATTCAACTGGTGTGTTGCAATATCCTTCTGTATCTTTTTGCCACCCCCGTTTCTCAGTCTGTTGGCTAAGACCGAGTATAGTATCTCAAGGACACTCCAGTTCCAGAAGGGAAAAGGAGAGATGAAAACAGTTTTGAAAACACTTGTTTACATTATTTTGTAACTTCTGGGGAATCCTAAATGAAGTACATCCACCCATGAAATGAAAATAACCCTAGGAAAGCAGTTACTAAAGGGATTGTCAATATATGCAATGAGAACTGAAATATGGTAAATATAACTCCACTAAAAAGAATAGAGATATAGCTGCTGAGGTCTGTGTTTCTGTGGTTTGCAAGTCAACTTTAGTGCCCATTGAGCATGTCCAGTTCCTACTTTCTGAACAGTTTCACTCCTGAAGCTCTGCTCCTTGCAGGAGGCTTTGGGTCTCCGTAGTTTTTTCTACAAAAATTCTAGCAGTTCATGAGGAATGATTCTCTAGCACTTTATTCTATCACATCTCCTAAGAACGCAGTGTAGGATTAAGAAAAATGATATATGGTATCTTTACAGTGCAGTTTGTATTTAGCAGCACGATACCTGCAGTACCCGTACTGGTAAACCTTCCCCTGAAAGTTAAGTGCCAGACACAGGGCATAAGCACATGGCTCTCCCAGCCTTGCCTCGGGAAGGTACCCAGTGTGACAGGGACAGGGCAGCCAGCAGCTGCATCCCAGGGAAGGACAGCTTTGTGAGAGGTTGGCAGCTTGGGGATCTGCCACGGAACAAGCTATGAGAGCGGTGGGCCATGGGCATGCAGACCAGACGTAAAGGAGCAAACTGCTGGCATAAAAAGAGTTCCTGCTCTTTATCTGGCATTCAGAAATGGCCTATGATACTAGGAAGGGATGGATCAGAGATCTGTGGAGCGCTACTTTTTTGTGCTGATTGCAGGGGACTGCATTAATAGGGCTGCTGAATGTTGATAAGGGTTGCTACAGTGAGAGAAGCCAACTGATGTGATAAGAAATGTATTTTTGTGTCATGTTTCAAGCCATCTAATAGCACTGGGTGGGGGTGGGGTGAACAGGAGCAAGAGTTGGGTTAAAAGATGTCCTTTGTGTTAGAGAAACCTACTTGAACTCACTTTCCTGTAGTTTAAATGAGAAACTCAGTTAAATTAGTCCTGATAAAGTGCTAACTGCATGAATTATTGTTCACAGGCAGGAAAAGTGCAAATTTCTATCACAGTTCTGCCCATGCATCTTTCTGGGTTTGGGGTGGGATTTTTATGACCCCCCCATAGGACTGTACTTGAGGCCTTTCCCAAATAATAGAATCAGTTGTAAGAAACTGCATGTGAGGATTCTGCATTACCACTAACCCAGGAACAGGAACGTGAAACTTGCTTTCATTGTGGATGATTTGATTAATCTTTTATTGAATCTGTGAAAGGCTACTGAACTGACTCAGACACCTTTTCTGTCTTTCAGAGACACAAGGTGTTTTTTTCATCTGGTTCCTCCCCTTTCCCTCTGAGTGCAGAAAGGCTGCAATTATGGGCAGTTTTCAAGGATGGCAGCTTTTGCTAACAACCAGGACTTGTTGGGGCACAGAGTGCAGGAGCTGAGTTGCACTTGGACCAGAATGAAAAGTATTTCAAATGGTGCCACTCAAACCCCCAGGGCTGAGACCTCCCCTCATTTCTGGATGTGTATGCTTGGAGGCCAGGATTTGGCCTTGGACCAGGCATAGCCCATCATTCCAGCTGTAATCAGTTGCTCCTCTGCTGTGTGGAACAGACACTCAATGAACCTATATGCAGTTCCACGTACTCTGCTGGCACTCCAAACTTCTCTGGCCATGCCTACAGGTGCAAACCAGGAAAGGGTAACATTTGCACGATAACTCCCAGGAACTGAGTGATCACAGAGATCCTCCCATCCTGCCATGCTTGACCAAAACTGGGTAACGGTTTCAAGAGCTTCTGTACAGGCAGTGTCTGACCTTGTATGACTTGCTTGTGTAGAAAATCAGGCTTGAACAAACCTTGAGCAGACCCGAATGCCTTTGCAGAAGATGAAATTTCTTCGCTTGTCTTGTGTTCCCTGGAGCCTTTCAGAGTGGGGTCTGGGTCTTTTCATAATTTTTTTCAAGTGCCCCCTCAAATCCTTACCTGAAGTACTTTAACATGTGGTATATTTTCATCAAGGGGCTATGGCAGCATTAGCATGTGGTAACACTAGGTGAGGAGAATACAAAGGGCATTGCTGGAGAAAAGGGAAAAGCATCTTGTATGAGCTCTGGTCTTCTCAGTGAACCTCAGGACCTTCCATTAGAAGATGGTGACCTGCTCCTAAAATTTTACTGTGATGAAGCAGCTTCCTTTGTAGGACTCACCACCCTGCTCTGATGTATCTCATTCTACATTCAAATGTAGGTGACCTGGTGAGTGCTTCATGGTGTCTGTCACATTTGTCTCTCGATGTGATCTGCCTCTGGTACTGCAGGCAGCTCTGCTCTTTCAGCCTTCAGTCTAGATAGTTAGCTCATTTTTACAACAGTGCAGTATGCTTGTGGAGGCAGGAGGATTTTTACTCCTTGCAGAGGCAATTCTGGATCTTTCTAGCAGCTTTCTGTGTTGGCTCACAGGGTTGTTAATGTTAATGGTTGTAAAATTATTGCACCCTTTCCCAATATCAGTTGACTTTGGCCTTGAGAGACGGTGCTACCCTTTACACTTTAGCATTTCACAAAGACTTTAAATGTTGGCAACAAGAGCTGGGTATGAACTAATCTGGGCAGCAAGTTACAGGTTGCTTCACTTAAGCTTTTCCATGTGTTGATTTCAGGTTCATAGTTTCTATGTGACTCCAAAGTATGTAAATGTGAGAGTTCATTTTTCCCTCTGCACTTGCAACTGAGCTTGAAAAATATAGTTCCTCTGAAAGCCAGTCTGTTATAGGGTTTGCTGAAGTGAACCTTTCTTTCCAGGGATGTGGAATACTGGGATAAGACTAAGCTTTATGATTCAATCCTTCAGTTTGCAGCCACTCCTCTCCTTGGCACAAGGCTGAGATGACACAAGGTACAGATCGTTTTCTTTCAAAGAAAAGGCAAAGTGTTCTTCTAAGAAGGCCTGAAATACCAATGGCCTGAAAACTCCTTCAGGAATGTAATTTTTAGTGCATGTTTGGGGATGGGGGGGGTGCTGTCAGGTAGACATATCCCATACAGTTCTATCTGCACAACATGTATGTTTCTTTCTAAGCTCCTTCACTCGGAATTGCATTTTAATATTACAACTGAAAAAATGTATTTAATTATTGTGGTTCCCATAAGAAACTCCAGGCTCTTCTGAAGTCCTCTGAAAATGCAAAGTGTTTCACAATGTATGAAGAGCTAATTTGCATTGAGAATCAATATGCTAATTATTGTGTCAACACTTACTGTTTTGGCATGTTTCTTGGCTTCTTGTCCCAGGGTATACAGCCACGTATGGTCCCGATTCCTTTGAGAGATGTAAGATGTGCCCTGGCTCTGCAACAGTCACAAGACTTGTTAAAAGAGATGCAAACCCAAGAAGACTGGTACAGTTTGTACTGTCTTATCCAGTCTAGCCTCATTCTATTAGAGAACATCAATTAAATCAGATGAAGAAATTAAGGAGCTTTTGTCTAGCTGGTAAGCTAAATAAATAATGACTAAAATAAAATGATTGTTAAACAGATGAGTCAAAATAACTACCATACCAATCTGTATGTTTATACAGTGTCAAGTGATGTGGGAATACAAGTGTCAAATATAGGCCCAGAGATGTTCTCCTTCTTCATTTTATTTATTTCGAAGATGGTTGTGCTCTGAGTCAGGAACCAGGAATAGCTGTGCCAGGCACTGCGCTACCTCAGAACAAAAAGATGAACTTTGCCTCTTGGCTTCTTCTGCAGCCTGGCAGCTCTCTGGGACACCGGGGCTGTGCAGGTGTTGGGAGGAGGGTGAGAAACAGGCAGACAATCATGGCTCCAAGTATGAAATGATATGAACGCAGGGCACACACAACATGTGTCTGCAGAGCATTGGGCCAAGAGTTTCTGACATGACTCTGTGACAGGGCTGTGAACAGCCCAGGATAGAAGTCAAGATGGTCCTGGGAGCCTAGAAAAAGCAACCAGAAAACGTCTCTCTCTGCTAGACCTGTTAGTTCTTAATTGCTCCATGGTAACTAATGACTAAGCTGCACAGGGAGAACTATAATGCAAACTTGGATTACGCTTCCAGTCTTAAAGTGCTTGCTTTAGGGGCTATGTATACGTGTGAGGCATGGCAAAGGCTGGTGAAGTGGAAAGGTAGGTGCTGTAGGTCAGGATAAGTAGTCATAAGAGAAGAATGTGGCTCTTTCCTCACCCTTACTGTCCCTGGGTACAGCAAAAAACAGTGCAGGCAAAAGGGAGGGGTGCGCACCTGAGAGCTCCTCACTGTCCAGGAGTTCACAGCACAAATGAGAGTGGCTGGATCTTTTTGGTTGCCCAAACGACCACTGCAAACTTTCTGGCAGATCACTTTGCATTTCCTATTGTTTCCCCCTCACCTGGGAAAAAGGCTGCTAGATTATTGCTTTGCCAGCCAGGTGCTAAACTGCTACACCTGCACACAGTAAAGTCTGACACCCCACTGGGCTTAAAGGTGCTCACCAAACCCCATTATTCACCTTCCAAGCAACAGAATGGCTCTTCTGCCCACCCTGTATATGTGTTCTCTGGGACACATGTATCTGTTGGGGATCCCAGACACAGGGGACTGAGCCAGAGGCTGGTGATGGGTGATGCTGGGTCAGTCATGTACCTTCTTCACGCTTAGTCCCCACCACCAGCACAAGGAAAATAGTTATACACTCTGTCTCTAATGCAAAGATAAAAAGTAAAAGCTAGGAAGGATTTATGAATCTACCTATATTTACCAATAATTTCCAGATATAATTTTTTTAAGTCTCTGTGATCAAGAGCTAGGAGAAAAATATTTGTAAATGGTGCTACTCCCCAACTCAGCCAGCCATCAAGCACTTTTTTTTTCACAAGTAGTTCTAGTTTTACTTTATCAAGGCTGCCAAGGACTTTCTGAGCCTGATGACAAGCCTTCCAATTTGAACAAGCACATGTTTGGGTGGGTTTTCTCACAAAAGGTGAGTGATGATACACAAGCAAGGTGAAGCTAACCTAGAGATGGCTTGCCCTGCTGCTGGTTCATCTCTTTGGTTTTGGTCTCTGATTTGTTTTACTGGAAAATTTCTGGGTTTTGTTTGTTAGGTTTATATTCTAACACTTAATAATTTCACTTTACATGTCAGCTTTTCATTTTGAAATTGCTAACTACTATCAGGTAACTGAGCTTAACAGAGGTTTCTTTCTTTAGCTGTACCTTAGATAGCAGAGAAAGATCAGATACTATTGAGAAGTCCCACTCAAAATTTCGCAGGGTGCTTTTGCTCCTTTACCTGCAGCAATTAACCTTGCCCCCCACAGCCCCTGGTGAGCAGCTCTGCCAGCGGGACACCTCCAGCAGCCGCTCTCGCAGGTGAGCACAAAGGCTCACAGAGCAGAAACGCCTTCCTGCCCCCGGCATGTCAATAGGCCCGCTCAGCTATGCTGAGTTTAGTCATGCATTTTAAGTTTCTTCCTGAACCGGGGTCTTAATCCTTGTGCCATTTTACTGGAACAAAGAGGTCAGATTATTTATAGGTCGGCCGCCTTTGTGTGCGCGAGGCTAGCAATGCCTTCGGTGCTCCAATTTCTGGGACTCTTTTTCCCTCCGGCTCTTAAGTCTCAGCTATTCTCTCCTAATGCAATAACAGTAATTATCCTATCGCCGGCCACTGCAGCACCCTCCATTAGCGCCTGCCTTACCCAGCGCACAGCACAGGCTGGCAGCCAGGTAAAATCCCTGTAATTTATAGCTCATCAGAGAAGCCAATCAGCCCACGGTCTTCCTGTTTTGTAAAGAGACAGACTTATCACCTAGACGCCGCTGTGATGGGTGCACTGGAAAGGCAGGAAGATAAAAGTAGTGCACAGGCAAGCTCTGGCCCCGTCTCTGTTTATGTTCTCTGTTGTTTCATCCAGGCATGCAGTCAAGCAAAATCATCATGGCTCGATGCAACTAGAAGAAAATATTGACATCTTTTTGCTTCCCGGTAGACCCATGACATTTCGCAACCTAATTGTTGTTTCGCATCCGGCTGCTGAGTGCAGAATGAAAGATGTGGAGCTGGGCATGCTAATGTTTCTCTGCTAAGGCACAGAGAAACTTTAGTTTTCGGCACAGTGGTGACTTCTTAGATGTTTTATGTGGCTGGTATCCTATAGCATCCTATAGGGTGTGCTGTGTGGTGCACGGGCTGACCTCACTTCTTCTTCAGTCCTTGTACGTTTTCATGACCAGAGGGATGGAGCAACTCTCGATTGAAGACAGCCTGAGAGAGTTGGGGTTGTTCAGTCTGGAGAAGAGAAGGCTCTGGGGAGACCCTACAGCACCATCCAGTACTTAAAGGGGGCTGCAAGAGAGTGGGAGAGGGACTTTTTCAAGGGCATGAAGTGATAGGCTTTACGCTGAAATAGTTTTAGATTAGATATTAGGAAGAAATTATTTACTGTGAGGGTAGTGAGGCTCTGGAACAGACTACCCAGAGAAGTTGCGGATGCCCCATCCCTGGAAGTGTTCAAGACCAGGCTGGATGGGGCTTAAAGACCACCTGGTTCCAGCCCCTCTGCCATGGGCAGAAAAGTGTCCCTATCCATGGCATGGTGGTCAGAACCAGGTGGCCTTTAAGGTCCCTTCCTGCCCAAACCAGCCTATGATTCTGTGAAATTCTCTGTCATGACAGCACTTGTGGTGTGTCTGCTCTTAGGAGGAGAAATTTTTTTTCTTTAACCGCTAGGCTGACACATCCAACAGGATTTGGATGGCAGTGGTATTTGGTAAGGATAGATGAAATGTAGAGCAGATCTTGAGAGAATCACTCCTGACACTTATCCCAACCTCATGCAGGCAAGGCCAGATAGTCCTTTGTGCAGAGGATGCAAACACACACACATCTGCACTGGAGAGATCAGTCAAGCAAAATCTTCTCCAATACCATTTGGACTTTGCCTGTTTCCGTTCTTCAGGCAGCGAGGAGCATTTTCCAACGTGCCTTAGAACACCTGAGGATGGTAACCACATGCTTACCAGCATAAAAGTTTCTGGCTGTGTATTGCTGAGAAGCTTTTGCACTTCTGATGGTCCCACAGCCTCTGAAACTCAGTAGGAGAAAAGCTGCAGGGTCAGAAATACGATTTCTCTTTGTTCCTTTAGCTGCTGTTCATGTTTTTGGCTGAGATAAAAACTCTTCTGGAAATTATTCATGTCTTCATTCAGTGCTTTGGCAATCTGAGGAGACTGCATTACTCAATGATGCTTCAAGTTAGCAGTGGTAGGGCCCAGATATCCTTGGATTTGACAACCAACAAACATCTTCATCAGTGAAGTCATACAAGGCAATGTTGTTTTGATGTGCAATTAAGTTACTAGCGATCTAGTCACAGAGCAGAGCTTTGAACTAAGTAGCTCTCCCTGTTTGAAGCAAATGGGGGAATAAACACAAATACGTGTACGTCTGAGACTCAGGTTGCCAACGGGCAAACTGACATGTTCCTCAGCAAAGCTGGCTCTAGTGGAGAAGGTGGAAGCTTTGAGTGCAGGAGAGGCACAGTCAGAGGCATGAAGGTGAGGCGTCCTGCACCCTGCCTGCTTGCTCCACGTGACTGTGATGCTCAGTTCTCTGGTTAATCCTGGAGAGTCTTACAGGAAGAGTACTTGATCATTTAGAGGTCAAGAAATACCAGTGTGAGTGTCAGAAGCAAAGCTGAGCTGAAACTTGCAAAGTGTTCCTGAAAAAAATGGGAAAAACTTCTCCAAATCTCAGTGTAAGAGAGGAAGAAAAGCAAAGTCAGACTGGTGTGCAGTAAATGAGATTAAAGATAATTTAGGCATGGCCTGCAATCAAAGGAGTACTTTACCTCTGCTCTGGTTTAAGAAGATAAATCCTAGGGGCAAAAGCAGGCTGGTTAATGGGAACGGGGATATGGAAATAGAACTGACAGTGTGCTCAAAGAGCAGGCGGTGTTACTCTTGGGGAGCCTGTCCAGGAGTTCTGGAAAGACCAGCATGTAAGGTGGCACCTCCAACAGCAACTGTTTTTATACATCTGCCAAGTCAGAGAAGGACTCCGTGACTCTGGGATATCCATTACAATGTGTTCATTTGTGCCGAGTTAAAAAATAATCCAGTCAGCCATCATCGTCCTTGTAACTCTGAACTCACTGGTATGCAGGGCTTTGGAACATGCCTTGAAGGTTAATTAAAAATGCAAAGGCACATCAAAAATGGGATGAAATGCAATGAAAGGTACATCCTGCCAGACTAACCCGATGGTTCTCTTTGATAAAACAATTATTTTTCCAGACAGGTGATATCTGCC